CAGTGAGGAGTGGCTTGGCAAGACTCCAAGCCAGGTGCTCCTTAACCAGGCTCTGCCATGTGCTAGCTCTGATTCTGAGCAAGGTCAAACAAACTAAACCCTGAGTTTGTTTCCATTTATAAAATTAGGGTTGTATCACCACACCAAGTTGTTAGTGCTGTTGTGAAGATTAATCGATGTGAATTTGTAGATCACCTGGTGGAGCAGTTTCCTTTCCTGTTGACTTCCACCTGAATCTGAGCTTTCCCAGGGCAAGAATCAATTCCTCTGAGAATCACTTTTGGGAGAGACAGCTAAAACGGGGCTTGCTGGTACAGAGGAGCTGAACTACCCAGTCCGAGATAGCAGCCACTGTGGCCCTTGTAATATTCTGGGTGGCCATGCTGGGTCACCCATACCAGAAGACAGGGCTAAGCTGTGGACAGTTTGAGAAAGGGCAAGTGTTTTGCAACCATTGTAGGCTAGGTGGGGTCACCATCGGTTCTAACAGTTTAAAAGAGACCTTTGGAGCCCTTGGGATCATCTTCACAGGTTTTAATAGTAAGTAGGGAAACAAGCCAGCAGGGAGACAGCAACTTGAGCTCCCCTCCCCCAGGCTGATGCCACCCTTTTATCCCCTCACTCTTAGGCACAGGTGTGCACACTTGCTCATGCGCACACACCCATGTTCTAGATGTCCACAATCAGGCATGCGTGCCCCACACCCATGTGCCTTCTGCGTTAACACGATCAAGGCCAGGGGTGATCGAGAGGCTAGTGGCATAAAAAGCCTGATTAACCCATTCACCTTAGACCAAGGTTTCTCCAGAAAGATTTCCCAAAAGGTCCCACACTTCTAGGTCTCATAGAAAGTTTTCTGTCTCAGAACCTTGGCAGTGATCTTGTTTTATGTGAATTTTAAGGCAAACTTGAAAAACAAAAATTACTGTACAATCATTGATGTGGTTATAGCTAACTTACTTTTAAATATTCACACAGCATGAAAAGAGACCACCTTCCTTCGGCTTTTATGCAGTTTTAACCTCACAAAAACTTCCCAAACAAACTGCTGAAGTCTGACTTCTGTGTTACTGAAGAAACAAGGGACATTGTTTTTTGTTTTTTTTTTTTTTAATAAATTTTATTGTTATATTCCCCATACAATTGCAGCCCCCCCATTCTGACCCCAATCCCTCCCCTCCCGCCCCCGCCCCCAAAAAAGTGTCTCTGGTTCATAGTTTTTTGTTGATTTTGATTTTCACTTTCTTATAGTTATTCATTTTCCTGGTCCCTTATTTAAGTTTTCTAGATTCCTGCTATGAGTGAGACCATCCGGTATTTTTCTTTTTCTTTTTGGCTTATTTCGCTGAGCATGATCCACAAGGGACATTGTTTTATCAAAACTTTAATCTCTTGTCTCCATACATAATATTCTTCTCTCCTTAAGCATGAGTATGAGCTACTTTGGACACCTTGGGAGATGATGTAGTGATGTGGACTCAATCTTTGTGCCACCCCCCCAAAATTACATGTTGAACCCCTTATCCCTGATAAGATGGATTGAGAGGTAATTAGGTTATCATGAGGTCACGGGGTTGGAATAAGGCCCTTCTAAGGGTATAAAGGGTCTAGCGCACAGTCAACTGTTTACCATGTGAAGATACAGTAGGAAGATAGCTGCCAACTTAGGGCGCTCACCAGACACTGGGTCTGCAGGCCCTTTGATCGTGGATTTCCCAGTCTCCAGATCTGTGAGAAATGTTTTAGTTGCTAGTCTATTAGCTCAAACATGCTTTAAATTTTATTCCAGGCCTCAGGTTAGCAGACCTCTCCTAACTAGAACTGTTTCTCTTGACCTGTACTTTGGTGTATGGCATTGACTCAAGGGGATGGTGTGCAGGTATGGAGAGAAACAGTCCTGGGAATCTTACTGTACCTGAAATATCACGGATTCCACTTGACGTAGTTCATGAGGAAGAAGGAGCTCTTTATAGTAGGGACAGTTTTTTCTCTGGAGGAATTCTGACTTGTTTTATTCATGGTTAATTAACATTTCTTCTCGGTGCTGTAGACTGTAGGCATCAAATTTTACTATTAGGACTTTTACTATTAGAACTTCATGGACTAAATGTTGTTCATTTTGGATGTTATTAGTATCTGATGGTTGCCATTTATATAAAGGAGGGGTTTTATGTGATAAAATGAACAGAGGTGTGCCAGAGGAAGAAGGAAGATTAAAGTGCGTTTAAATTTCCATTATAAGGGGTGTCCCCAGTGGTGCAGCGCTGTGAAGCTGTCCGCAGTCTCTGCAGCATGGGTTCGATTCCTGGCCGGCCAGGGGGATCACCACTTGGCGTGGCAGACCTCTGTCTCGCCTGCTGCTCCCCTCAGCAGTGTTTTCGGTCCGTCTGCCTGTTCTGCTCCCTGTTGTCTCTGGTGAATCCTCTCACCCTCCCACACCTTTGGCCTGTACCCCAGTTCTTGATAAATAAAAATAAATCTTAAAAAAAAATCTCTATTTAAAATTTAGAGGCAATGCGGAGGAACCAACAAGCTACAGGAAAGGTCATTTTATAATTAAAATACATACAAGCAAGAGATATTCCTTGACTGGATTATGTATTTGTATGTTAGTCATTCTGCTCAGATAGTACTTTGTCAAACATAACAGGAGAATGTACAATGTTAAAAGTTTATTTCTGAAATGCTTTATTTTAATTAGTGCACATTGTATTAAGTATAGAATTTCCTTAAAAATTAACAAATAAGTTTCACTGTTATGACAATGATGGGGGAAACACCTGGCTCTTTGATTTTTTCTATTTACATTTATCCAATTTCCAAGTCGATGCTCATGTTAAGATTCTTTATTTTTGTCCAAGTTGTGACAGCTATAACAAAACATAATAATATATTAACCTCACCATTTAAACATATAAGTAAATACCTTAAGAAAGCATACTTTCATCATGGTAAATTTTAGGCTTCCTCTTTCATTCACTAACTTAAGGGTAATGTTTATAGATATTTAAAAAACTGACAGTAAAGAGCTGTCATGGTAGGAAAAAACATGTAAACACTTGAAGTACAAATTAAGGATAAAGATTCTGGGTATGAACAGTGTAGAGGAAAGGTCATGAGGGAACTTGATGGTGTGATGTCTTTTATTTATTTATACATACAAGCACTGGGTACAGACAGAAGCGCGGGAGGGTGAGAGAATTCACCAGAGCGGGGAGCAGAGCAGGCAGAAGGACCGAAGTACACTGCTGAGGGGAGCAGCGGGCGGCAGGAGGGGTCTGCGCGCCATGTGGGACCCTTCTCCGTGGGACCCTCCTCCGGTGGCTGGGGAACAGCCGGGGATCGAACCAGCGCTGCAGAGGCTGCGGGCAGCTTCGCAACCCAGCGCTCAACCACTGCGCCACCAGGGAGGGCCGATGTCTTAAATGTTGTTTCAGCTACTCAGGTGAACCAGGGAGGAATGTGGGGCCTACCTGGTGGTGCAGGTTTTTTAAAGTGTGAGAAGGGTATTGCCAGCCACTGCAGTTAGCCCACATGGCACAGCAGACCTCTTGTCTCCCCACTGCTCCCTTCAGCAGTGTATTTCAGCCAATCCTCCTGTTCTGCTCCCCGCGCTCTGGTGAATCCTCTCATCTCCATACCTCTGGCCTGCACCCCAGTTTTCGTATGCATTAAGTAAAAATCTCAACAACAACAAAAAAAAAACCCTCACAAAACTTAGGAATATGTTTAGGTTTGTGTATTTTACGGTTGTAAATATCACCTTCACAGGCTATAAAGCAAACAAAAACTAAAGAAATAACTTTAGATAATGATATTGGTACTTAAATATTAAGAGGGAGATGTACTAATATTTTGCAATTTACTTTGAAAAAAATTGGAGTTATGAATAAAGTGAAGAATGGATAGATGGGGTAGGTTTGTAGTTCGTAAAATGTTAATGAGTATAAATTATATCAGCTTTTTTCTATGTTTGAAAATTCTCATCGTAAGGTTACTGCATTAAGGTTAAAAGTGCAAGAATCACATAGTGGAAGAACTGTATTGGGAAATGATGCTCGGAAACAGTTGCTAAAAATGAGTACAAGGTGCAGTTATACTTTTTATTGCAGACAGGCAAAGCTGTGGACATTACTGGTCAGACCACTGAATATCCCTGGTAGTTAAAGCTTTTTGAAAAAAGCTAAATTTAATGTAATTACTAAAACCATTAATGGGAAAAATACTAAAAGAATTAGACTACACCTCAACTGTTGCATTAACTTATTTCAAGGCGAATGTTCAAGTTTTTGCATCTGTGATAACCTTGGTTAAAGACAGACACATGGACAAGTGTTAAATTGAATTTTGCCTAACTGCAATTAAATTTTCTGAATTTACCTTTTCATAAAGACTTGGGAAATGGAAATGTTACATTAACAGAGCTTTCTTTTGTCTATGGCAAAACCTTACATTCTTACAGAGTTCTATGATTCTCTTGCTCTCTTCACAAAAATACCGATAGTAAGTTAGGGTACATTAGAAGAACAAATAAAAAAAGGTAAAACTTACCTGTTTTATGAACTGTGTAGCATTGAAAATTTCACTGCAGCCATATAAAATGTGTTTGCCCTGTTTCCCCTGTAAGAATTAGAGAGAACTCAGACACAAGTAAATACCAAGTGACAGTTTCAATATTCCTAAGAAGGAAGATTAATTCTAGTAAGATTTTTCATTTTTTTTTTTTTTTGGGAGGGGGGAGATGTGTAGATTTGTGTACTTGTCTCTAATCTAAAATTGAATAAAATGGACACAGTATTTTTTCAAGAGTTTTATGAGGCACTGTTGTACCATTTGCACTGAAACTAGAAGGAATCTTTTGACTGACTTATAAAATCTACGGCAACATTCTTCCATTGTAAGACTGCACATTTTTACACTGATCGTACTTATTTCTGCAATATTATGTTTACTAAGTAATTTATCCCGCTCCATTTTGTAACTATGAAGTTCATTCCTAGGTTGGAACCTAGTTACAGCAGACTAAACTTTGAAACTGGAGAATTTCTGTAAGTTCTTCTTGCTGAAATTATTTCATGCACTGTGAACTTGAAGGTAAATTCATAATTGTTCTTTTGTGATGTAAAAATTTATTCTATAACATTAATTGTGATAATTCATAAAAAAATTGTGGTTTTTGTAACACAAGAGGATATTTCTCTGTATAGTAAGAATAAATGGCCTAGCTTGATCATCTAACTCATTTTCTCAAACAAGATGGTGGCAGAGGCAGCATTACACAGGACTGTGCACAAGCATGCCTTGGTCATATGACAGGTTGTTTCTAGACTGCTGCAATACAATGAGTCACACAAATTTTCTGTTTTGCCCAGTGCATACAGAAGTTATTTACACTGTACCACAGTCAAGTAAATGTGCAACATTGTATAAAATCTTTAATGCTTTATTTTTTAAACAAAAATATGCACAATAAAGCATAACTACAAAATGCTATCCATCACTTGAACTTTTGGAAAAATGGTGCCAATAGATTTGCTTGATGTAAGAAAGGCAAACCTTCAAAGCAGTATCTGTGACGCATAATCAGCCAAGGTATGCCTGTAGCTGGGAAGCGTGAAGCTACACCGGACATACTCGATAAGGCATTAATAAAGGTAGAAGTCATGGCATAGAAGGATAAAGAAAGCCTGGGAACCAAATGTCTAGGTATAGCTTCTAGGATCCCACTTGAGTACAGGCATAAACCATCACTCTTTACATATTGTTAAAAAATGCTGACAAGCTAGTGCAAGCTGCCTGCCCGCTCACAAGGTCAAAATACACTAGCTGAGATTAATACTGTACTTTGATATAATCTACATTTCCCCCACCGGGCACTACTTTTATTAAAAAAGATTGATAAAGGATAATACCACATGTAATATTTGGTGCTTATCCACTAAGGTGTAGGTTTAATTAACATTGCAGCTTACTAATATTCCAGTGCAAACCTGATAGTTCTTCCATGAAAAATTGATTGCATGAAATGTAACAATACACTAATTCAGTGTACCAATATTAACTTAATCCAGTTTAAGTCAAATTTACTTTTTTATTATATCTGCTCATTGACAACTTCAATATTTTCAAATTAGTAATGATGTTATTTAGAACTAATCAGTTACGTATTTTTTGGTCTTGCCAGCAAATATGGCACTTGCTCATTTTGTAGTGAATTGGTATAAATGAATTACTGGTTTTAAGTCTGTAGTAGGCATAGCCAAAGTCTTGTCATGAATGGGGTTGAATGATAAGAAAAAGATTAGGATTATTCAAAACAAGGGAAACAGCAAGAGTAATAAGGATTTTTAAAAAAAGCCCTGGGTAGTTAATAGTTTTATTCTAAAGAACCTCTATGAAAACCCACAGCTAATATTCACTTAATGGTAAAAGACTGGATGCTTTGCCCGTAAGGTCAGGGAGAAGAATGTCTGCTATTGGGAGGCACATTCAAGATAGCACCAAGAGGCTCCCTGCTTCACTGTTCAGACCATCATTAGTGAAGTACTGTACCCAGAGAGTCCTGTGGGTGAAAATCTAGAACACCTGTTGAACATCAGAGCACGTGTACAGACTGTGCCAGAGACTCACTTCAGTGACCTAGAGGTATATGGAGACGCTTGGAGGCTGCTGTACATACCACAGCACTGCCATGGCTGGTGACTCAGGGGAGGGTAGAGCATAATGGTGTGAAGATATATTCCCTTGACTGGAGAAATAGAGGTGGCAGAGCTCCAGTGAAAATAAGGAAAGGGTACGAGGCTGTGCTCCACTCTCCAACCTTGCGCGGCCTAGTGAGAATGCACAGATCTCTGGTCAGAAACTCCAGAGAGGAGGACAAATAGTAACCTGCCACTCCCCTACTCAGCAGCTACAAGATCAGGTCTCAGACCTTGATTAATTACAAGCACAGAAACTGAAGCAATAAAAGCAAAAAGGCCAGGTCCAGATGGATACGGTGGTTAAGTTCTAGTAAACCTTTAAAGATGAACCTGTCCATTTCAAGTCTTCATAAAAGAGAGGGAATGCTTCCCACCACATTTTATTATGCCAACATTACTGATACAAAAAAGTAGACAAGGTAATAAAAAATAAAACTGAAGACCAGTATCTCTGGTAACAGATGCAAAAATCTAAGTGGTGTTTCATTACAGTTTTGATTTGCAAATCATAGTAATGCTGTTACTAGGATTTGGTAAATAGAGATGCAAAAATTCTAGTAACAGCATTTAACAGGTCCCTATTTCAAAACTTACTGTAAAGAAATCGAAATTAACAGTGTAGCACTGTACGAAAGTCTACCCTGTATACAGCAGGAATGGAGAGTCCAGAAATAAACCCATATACTTAGGGTTAACTGCTGGAACAACATGAGTAGTCATAAGCAAAAGAATGATGCTAGGCTTTACTTCATAGTATATACGATATTAACTCAAAATGGATCAAAGTCCTAAGAGCCAAAAACTATAAAATCATTGGGAAATGTGAGAAAATCTTCAGAACCCTGAATTTGGCAATGGAATCTTAGATATGGCACAAAAAGCATGATCAACAAAAGAGATAAGATGGACTTCATCAAATAAAACTTTCATACTTTTAAAGAGAACCATTAAGAAGGTGAAAAGACAACCCAGAGACTGGGGGGAAATATTTGCAAATCTTAAAATGTAGGTACAAGTCTCTTATCAGATATATGAAATACTCTTGGAAACTGGAAAAAGGCAAAATGACCAATTCAAAACTGGGCATAGGAACTCAACATTTTTCCAGAAACACACAAAGGAGACCGATAAGCACATGAAAAGTTGCTTCATTTCATAAGTCATTGGAGTAATGCAAATCAAAGCTGTAATGAAACACTGCTTTATACACACTAGGCTAGGAATCAGTTAGCTAACAAGTATTGCAATAATGTGGAGGAATCTGAAACCTCATACATTGGTGGTTGGAATATAAAATGGGGCACACTTTTGTAAACAGGCAGGCAGTTCCTCAAATGGATAAATGTAGTTACCATGGCTCAGCAATTCCACGCCGAGGCATATTCTTGAGAGATGAAAATACATTCTTACACAGAATTACATACGCCTATTAATGGTTCCAAGAGAACAGCAATTAATTTCATCTAAAATTGACACTCAGTTTGGAATTGGATTTGTATACTTGGTAAATGAAGCAAACACTATTAGATGTCACAGTAGAAAGTTTCAACTTGTACATTTTTTAATGTATCACTTGATTAAAAAAAACCTCCTAATACACAATCCATAGACTTACCTTATCAAACACTGACTGAAAATTGGAAGAGATATTTGAAACACCCTATGTTCCAAATTGAGCCAATCTCTAACAAGAGACATTATTGCTTGCATGATGGAATGTATGTTAAAAAGCATAACAGGCATGGAATCAGACGAGCCATCAACAGTGGATATAGATTATCGAAATACTGCGGAAATAATAAAGGAGGGCAAGAGTGGGGTGTGACAGAGGAACTGAGAAAAACTTCTGCATTACTAAAACTTTTTCTCTGCCTGATCCTGTAGGCACAAGCCTTGCACATTTACAAGTTCTGAAGGATCATTTACAAACATGCTACCAAGACTTTACCTCTAAATATGAGGAATGATGGAATGGGCTGTTTCTTCTTTTCACCTGAGCTAGAATTAATGGTTTCTGCATCTTTCCTAGCCAGTACTACAGCCTTGCCCTTACCCAATCCTATTTCACAGGAGTGGGAATAGTAATGGGGAAGCGCTGGCCAGTCTCTTACTGCTGCCAGCTCTACGGATCAGTCCTTTTACTGTGTCCGATGGTCTAAACCAGGGGCCAAGGTCTGGGTAAAAATTAAAGGCAAGGGAAAAGAAGTTTTGACTCTCAGAAAGGGAGCCAATATGTGAACAGAAGAAAAAGGGAAAGCTAACATTATCTTGTAACCTTTTAGAAGCTAAGAGGAAGAGACTAATACTCTTGTCTATATTTACAGATTCCCATGAGGTCTGTGTAAACTGTCTCCTTTGTATGAAGCTGAAGGTTCAAGATAAGTCTTAAGGATTTAATCAGCAGTTATCCATGTGGTATGTCTTAATGATGGTTAATAAATTGGGGATAAACACAAAATTTTAACGCTTTCAAAAAATCTTTTGGGCCTCCCCTTGTGGCGCAGTGGTTGAGCGCTGGGTTGCGAGGTTGCCCGCAGCCTCTGCAGCGCCAGTTCGATTCCCGGCCACCCGCGAGGGTCCCACCAAAAAAAAAAAATCTTTTATAGGTTCTAATTTATAGGTTTTTATCTAGATGACTCCTGGGGAGCAAAATTAAGATAATGTTGCCACTCAAATGCATACAAAAGAGTTTGCTCAATAACAGGGCATAGTCCACTATATAACTATGAACCAAAGTGACGATCTGTTAAGGAAAGTGCCTGGATAGAAGGGACATATTAATATCTGCTGCATGCCTGTTTTTGTGGGTGGACAGTAATAAAGGCAAAAAAATTTTGTGAATTGAAACTAAGTAGAAGATAAATTGGTGGGTTTACATATTTACCACTGATAAAGACCTGATGTTCTTCTGCTGTTAGTGATAGATCAGAGAACGAAATAGGTAAGAGTTGTCAAGTTAATGTATGACTTAAACAAGTTTGCACTGGACTACTTGGTAAACTGCAATGCTTCTTTAAAATTATACCTATACTTCTGTCATTGCAGTTCCATAAACAATTAGTATTTTGGTCTTTATCCTTTTCTGTAAATGTAAAAAAAAATTCAGAAGAATGCTGAAATTAAGAAAGCTTAACCAAGAATTGTGGTGTGTGGAATGTGTTTTAGTACAGGATTATTTTCAGCTAGTCTATTGCAACCCTGTGTTTATCCCTAGGAACACCTGGGGCCAGTTGATCCTTGGTCAAACTTGAATGAGAGACCAATTTATGATTAATACAGTCCTTATAAGGGCCACAGGCCAGAAACAACCTGCACTAGCTTGTCAGCATTGTTTATAGAAACTGTACAGATTGACAGTTTGCACCTGGTTTGTTATGTTCTCTTGGTATCTGCTTTTGAGCCTGATTGTGTGTAACCTGAATTTAGTTATATAATCAGAGGGGTTTAAAAGACCTTTTCCTGTACAAGACAGATGCTCCCCTCACACCAAGGTGCTTACATATATGTCTGGGTGGTTCACACACAATTTAAAGAGGAAGCATGTTTGATAAAACTGAAATAGAACCCCTGGTGGGTTTTGAGACATGTCTATTTTCCCCTCCATCTATAAAAAGACCCTCTATTTTTATTAAAGCCTCACAACATAGGACATAATGGAATCATTATTAAGTGAACAAATGAAAACTACTTATCATTCTAATGACTGCTAATTCTGTTTTCCCTATATTTAAAATAGTATTTTTGCTCTTCAAGTATCCCTTTTCCTTCATAACCATTTCCTTTGTTGTCACTCTCTGCTGCTGTCAGTTTGGAATAGCACTCCACATCTAATTTACTAGCTCTAAAGTTTACCGAAGCAGCACACATTTCAAGCTTTTTAGATGTGTGTTGCTGATTTAAGTCAACAGGAGAGGAGAAAAATGCTTATTATTCAGGTAAGTGGGTTCAGTAAGTCATTTCAGCAAGGAATTTTTTTGGCAAAGGAGCTTGAGATCTCTAAAGTCAACTTAACATGGATACTTAGGAAAGTAGATTACCTGAGTAAGGCATTATTTTCCAGATAAAATACTATGTTAGGCCGGGAATGAATGTAATGACAGAACTAGAAGAGCAGTAACATATGTCCATTTTGCCCTACATGCAGGTTTTTAAAAAAGTCTCTATGGAAACGGTGTTATGAAAGAATCGGAATAGCCACCAGAGAATGCGCGTATTCTAAAAGACACAGAACTATAAAATATGATAGAAAGCCAAAATGTACCTTTATGTAGTCAACAAGATTCTGATATTCAATGTAGTTGCCTCCTCCCACCACAAAAACAATTGCCTAAAAATGCATACAGGAAAAAACCAGTAAGTTGAAAGGAATAATAGTTAAACAGAATTTTAACTTTCCAGCAACTTGGCTTACAGTCGGAAGTTTAGTATACAATTTAGATAAAAAATGCTAGGCAGCAAAAGGTCACATTCTAAGTACCTCATAATTACTAAGTTTTTAAAAAGTGCTAAATGAAGTAGATTTAACAATTTAGAGGAAAATAAAGTCTTATTCTTTAAGTGTTAGTATACATCCAAAGGGTATTTTTTAAATTTGAGGTTATTTATTGCAGGTAGGAAAAACTAGATAATTCATCGTGTACATAATTTCAATTTATGTTAATTTTTGTGAGCAGTTTTTTTCAAAGCAAAACATGAAAATACACATATTTTCAAACATTTGGAATCTTTTAGGAAAAAAAGTTTCATACATACAAAACTTTATGCATATAAGAGCTAGGGTATAGGCCAGAGGGTGTGTGAGAGGATTCGCCAGAGACAGAGTGGGGAACAGAACAGGCAGCCTGACTGAAATGCACTGCTGAGGGGAGCAGTGGGCGAATTAAGAGACGTCTGCTTCGCCTTGTGGGTTGCTCCCTGGCCGGTCGGGGATAGAACTCATGCTGCAGAGACTGCAGATAGCTTCACAGTGCGGTGTTTTACCCCTTGTGCCACCAGGGAAGCCCCATATAAAACTTTTACCACAATCTCAAAGATATCTTCTGTCAATTACTTTTGTGTCAGTTATTCTAAAGCTTAAGATATTCCAAGTAGAAGCAGTTTCACAAACAAGGACAATACAGTTGATAAGAAATGTCCTACTGAGTGGGAGAAACTATTTGCACATCATGTATCCCCAAAGAGGGAGGGGTTGATATCCAATATTTTAAACTACAAGAGAACAAATAACCCAATCAAAAAATGGGCAGGTCTGAATATATTTGCCTAAAGAAAACTTTTCCAAAGAAGACATACAGAGAGATGGCCAACAGGAACATGAAAAAATGCTCTTCATTACTTATCATCAGGGCAGTGCAAATCAATACCATCTCGTACCTGTGAGAATGACCAATACCAAAAAGACCAGTCAAAAGTGCTGGCACTAGATCATAGAGTGTAGAGAACAGGTATCCTGATATATAGGTATCTGTGGGAATGTAAACAATCCAGCCACTGGAAAAAAGTATGGACATTTCTCATAAGAAAAATAGCTACCTTAAGATCTAGTAATTCTACATGAGATATCCAAGTCAGAAAAGATATGCACTCCTGTGTTCATGACAACACTGTTTACAAGTTATGCAAACAACCTAAGTGTCCAATGCTGGATGAGTAGATACACTACTCAGCTATAAAACACAAGAAATCATGCCTTTTATGACAACATGAATGGAACTGACAGTGATTATGCTAAAGACAGCATGTCAGAAGGAGAAAGACAAATACAAGATGATTTCACTCGTGGAATATAAAGAAACCAATAAACAAAACCAATCAAATCCCTAGAATCCAACTGAGGTTCTAGGGATTGGAGAGAGGGTGGGTATTGGCAGCAGAGGATGGAGGGAATGCAATGGACTGTGGTAGTGTTTTTGGTACTCAGGTGGTAGGTACGGTGTAGTAACATATTTGAAGAGGTGTGAGTCTGTACTCCTAAAACATATATACAGTGTTCACCAATTTTGGGTGCACAGAATTGGATTTATCAAAATTGTCTTAAACGTGGCTTTATGATGATTAAAGTATGTAGAAGTCCTCAAGACTGGTATCTTTTCATTATTCCTTTTAAAAGACAAATAATTTTTATATGGAACTTACCTCTTGGAATGGATTTTTGTTCCTTGGAACTGAGCTGTAATAAAGAGAAAAAATAATGAAAATTTCATCCAAGACTTTTTATTATGGAAAAAAATAGGCACACACTATGAGATATGTAGTTACAATATTCTTTCCCTTCATCTTCTCTGAGGCGAGTCCTGTAGTTTTATACAGCCAGGTGGTGAGTGAGAATGCAGAAGAAGTTGCTAAAAGAGGTTGTCTCGTTATCTAAAAGGGAATGGGGCAAACTTTGACTTTAAAATAAAATTCTAAGAAGACTGAGGAAAAGACTGAGAAGGAAAACTGGGTATAATAAACTAAAAATTTTACTATATTCAATATAGTCTGTATGAAAAAAAACACGTAAACATACAAGAAGGAAAACACGTTGGAAAGGTAAAGGGGGCTGAAAGAGGTCTCTCCATCTTGCCCGGCTTATTTCTTACACATCATTATTACACATATTACCTATTTATATACTTACATATTTTGAAAACATTCCCTTGCTGTCTAAGAGATCTTTAATAAAGTTTTCCAGCTTTTCTCAGGTTTGTTTTGAGTGCTACAATAGGCTCTTACAAAGACAACTTGGGTTTTCCTCAAGCAAATTTTAAAAATCTTAACCAAGAGAAAGGAACTATTATGACTCCCCTTAATTATTCAGAGGCTGATTCCACAGTTCCATCACCTATTTCTTATTTTTTATGGCCTGTCTGAATGCCATGGAAGGGGACAGAAACCCATGTAACTGAAATGCTATGAGTAGACATGGCAGGAGGAGACTGAGACTTAGAACTGCACAGTATTACTAAACAATGTCTAACTGTGGTGAGATAGTTCAGGAGAAGGTTATGTCTATTAAGAATCAAAAGCTGAGCTCTGTATGCTCAAAGCTAATACCCGCCTCATAATAATACAGAAACTACAGGTAAGATTGAGAGAGTTTTTCTGTTAATTTTGAAGAAGCAAATACAAAGATGGAAACAACATAAGCTGGAAGATAGCAAGATAGGATAAGTGTTGTAAATGCATTTCTAAAGTGTACAATCAGGTTTTTACATTGGTAGAGCTGTACAACCATCACCACGGCCTAACTTCAGAACATTTTTATCAGCTCCATAAAGAAGCCCTATAAGTCATCACTCTTCATCTTTTCCTTTTAAAAAATTTATTGTTAATCGTGTCACCTGCTACTAGCAGCTTCTTTTGCAGTTTTGGCAGTATTTCTGGTAAATTCAGAAAAAAAAAAAAAAATAACCTTTTAAGTTACCAAAACAGCCTAATCATCAATTATTTAGGAACCAGATTATCTGTCTCTCCTACCTAGCAAAAACAAAGTTCTAAAGATCCTACATATAGAGGGAAGGACCAACTTTGTCCAGTTTTGGTGCTGAGTTTTTTCTCCCTCCAAATTTTGCAAATTCTTTCTTTTATCCTGTAGGCCTTTTTTTTTTATACCTACCATAAACTAAATTTTGAAAATCACATCCATCATAAAGTAAGCAAATTCCACACATGCTTACTGTAAAGCAGAAATAAACATAAAAGAACAAGTTTCCATCCTTTCATTTGGTCTAACATGAATATTTGTTTAAAATCATATACATACATCATTTAAATTCCCCTCTGCAACACAGTCTGCAATACCAGTATCATTTCATTAAAAAAAACCCAAGGCATATAAATGTATTTTTTTATGTGTATATGTTGGGTAGGAAAAGCATCAAAATGTAAGTGCAGGTACCACTGACTCCCTGGGTAATGAGAGTATACATAATGTTTACTTACCAGTTTTAGAAATATGACTTTTGAGTAGGAAGCAATTGACCTATAACAAAAAACCTGCTATTTCCTTTCTTGACAGGGATGAGGGGAAGTCCAAGAAGAAATTACACAAGGAAAGAGCTGTTTACCTGTCATTGCCTCGCAGCATCTTGGGATCAAAGTATCTGTAGTCATCCGTTTCCTTTAAAAACAAACAAACAAACAAAAAACAAAAATACTTTGTAATGACTATGGGCTTTCTCTTTAGAAAGTTTGGCTTAGATGAATCTATTAACTTGATATTATGTCTAACAACCAATACCAATATTTACCAGACATTTGTTATGTTTTAAACATTGTTCTAAGTGCTTTAGAGGAAATTGCTCACTTAATCCCTATAACATCTATAAGTTATTGCTATCCTTTTCACACGGGCAAGTCGGGGTACACAGAGGTCACATGGTTTATTAAATATGAGAACTCCAGGACTTGAACCAGTTATTTTAGTTATCAGTTTATTTTAGTTATCAATTTATTTTTCTAATCTCTTCAGTGCCCAAACTCTTCAGCATTATGTGTCTTGAAAATATACCTCTTATGAGCTTATGCATAAGTACTCTTGTTTTTAAAATTTTAGTATCTTTACATGTCTATAATTCATTGACTATACAGAATACCAATGCAGATTTAAAAACTCTTATTTCAATCTTTTAGAGTTAGATGTACTTCACAATTTTGAATTAAAAAATTAGGTAAATATTGTGCAAAAATTAACACTTCTAGTGGGTTGCACCCCATCACCTAACATGTTAATATTTCTGCTATTAAGAATATGAATATTAAAAGCAGAAATAAATGAAATTGAAACTAAAAAAACAATCCAAAAGATCAATGAAACCAAGAGCTGGTTCTTTAAAAAAATCAATAAAATAGACAAACCCCTAGCCAGGCTCACAAAGGAAAAAAGGGAGAAAGCACAAATAAACAGGATCATCAATGAAAGAGGAGAAATCACAACGGACACAGCAGAAATCAAAAGAATAATCAGTAACTACTATGAACAGTTATATGGAAACAAGTTCAACAATCTAGAGGAGATGGACAAATTCCTACAACTCTACAATCACCCAAAGCTAGATAAAGAAGAAATAGAACACCTAAACAGACCAATTACAATTAGCGAAATTGAAATGGTAATCAAAAACCTCCCCAAAAACAAAAGCCCAGGACCTGATGGATTTACAAATGAATTCTACCAAACATTCAGAGACGAATTAGTGCCTATCCTTCACAAACTCTTCCAAAAAATTGAGAAGGAAGGCACAATACCAAACACGTTCTATGAAGCCAACATTACACTAATACCAAAACCAAACAAGGACAACACAAAAAAGGAAAACTACAGGCCAATCTCCCTAATGAACACTGATGCAAAAATCCTCAATAAAATTTTAGCTATCAGAATCCAACAATGCATCCATAAGATAATTCACCACGACCAAGTAGGATTCATTCCAGGGACACAAGGATGGTTTAACATCCGAAAATCAATCAACGTTATCCAACACATCAACAAAAAGAAATATAAAAACCATATGATAATATCAATAGATGCTGAGAAAGCTTTCGACAAAGTGCAACACCCATTCATGATAAAAGCCCTTGAAATTATTGGGATACAAGGAACATACCTCAACATCATAAAGGCCATCTATGACAAGCCAACAGCCAGTATTATTCTCAATGGTGAAAAGCTGAAAGCAATTCCATTAAGATCTGGAACAAGACAAGGATGTCCACTCTCACCACTGCTTTTCAATATAATACTGGAAGTCCTAGCCAGAGCAATAAGACAAGAGAAAGACATCCAAGGAATCCAAATTGGAAAAGAAGAAGTCAAACTATCACTATTTGCAGATGATATGATAATATACATAGAGAACCCCAAAAAGTCCACAGAAAAACTAATTCAACTCATCAATCAGTTCAGTAAAGTGGCAGGATACAAAATCAACACGCAAAAGTCAGTAGCCTTCCTATACACAAACAATAAATCTGAAGAAGAAGAAATAAAAAAAAAATCCCTTTTTTTATTGAAACAAAAAAAATCAAATATTTGGGAATAAATCTAACAAAAGAGGTAAAGGACCTATACAAAGAAAACTATAAAACACTGTTAAAAGAAATAGAAGAAGACACAAAGAAATGGAAAGACATCCCCTGCTCATGGATTGGAAGAATAAACATAATTAAAATGGCCATCCTTCCAAAAGCAATATACAGATTCAATGCTATTCCAATCAAAATTTCAATGTCATTCTTCAAAGAAATAGAACAATTATTGATGAAATTCATATGGAATCACCAAAAACCCCGAATAGCCAAAGCTCTCCTGAAAAAAAAAGAAGGGAATGGAGGCATCACACTCCCAGACTTCAAACTCTACTACAAAGCCATAATCATCAAAACTGCATGGTATTGGAACAAGAACAGACATACAGACCAATGGAATCGAATAGAAAATCCAGAAATAAACCCACAGATTTATGGTCAACTAATCTTTGACAAAGGAGCAAAGACTATGCATTGGAGCAAAGAAAGTTTGTTCAATAAATGGTGCTGGGAAAACTGGGTCGCTACATGCAAAAGAATGAAGCCTGACCACTACCTCACATCATACACAAAAATCAACTCAAAATGGATTAAAGAACTAGACATAAGACCTGAAACCATAAAATATATAGAAGGAAATATAGGCGAAACACTACGTGATTTGCACATCAAAGACATCTTTACAGACACATCACCCAAAGCAGTGATAGTGAAGGCGAAGATAAACAGCTGGGACTACATCAAATTAAAGAGCTTCTGCACAGCAAAAGAGACAATAACAAAAACAAAGAGAAACCCCACCAACTGGGAGAACATTTTTGCACCCAACACTAATGATAAAGGACTGATCAGAAAAATCTGCAAAGAGCTGATGAGACTCAACAACAACAAAGAAAAGAATCCAGTCAAAAAATGGGCAGAAGAGCTAAAAAGAAACTTCTCTGAAGAGGAAATGCAAATGGCCAACAGGCATATGAAAAAATGTTCAACATCACTTGTCATCAGGGAAATGCAAATCAAAACTACCATGAGATACCATCTTACACCAGTGAGAATGGCACATATTAAAAAAACTAGCAACAACAAATGTTGGCGAGGGTGTGGAGAAAAAGGAACTCTTCTGCACTGTTGGTGGGAGTGCAAACTGGTCCAACCACTGTGGAGAGCTGTGTGGAGATTTCTGGACCTACTAAACATAGAGCTTCCATATGATCCAGCAATTCCACTCCTAGGTATTTACCCAAAGGACACAGAAACATCCATTCCAAAGAACACCTGCACCCCTATGTTTATAGCAGCACTGTTTACAATAGCTAAGCTTTGGAAACAGCCCAAATGCCCAAAAATAGATGACTGGATCAAGAAGATGTGGTACATATATACCATGGAATATTACTCAGCATTCAAATAAGATAAACACATGCAATTTGCAGCAACATGGATGGCACTGGAAGGGATCATGCTCAGCGAAATAAGCCAAAAAGAAAAAGAAAAATACCGGATGGTCTCAATCATAGCAGGAATCTAGAAAACTTAAATAAGGGACCAGGAAAACGATTAACTATAAGAAAGTGAAAAGCAAAATCAACAAAAAACTACGAACCAGAGACACTTTTAGGGGGGCGGGGGTGGGAGGGGAGGGATTGGGGTCAGAATGGGGGGGCTGCAATTGTATGGGGAATATAAAAATAAAATTTATTATTAAAAAAAAATTAAAAAATAAAAAAATAAAAAAAAAATAAAAAAAAAAGAATATGAATATTAAGGTAAGATAAAGAGGCTCATCTTGAGTCAAGGTGAAGTCTTGTCACAAAACAAGATATACAAAATCTTTACAAATCCAAACATTTTGGATTTTACAGCTCATCAGAAGGTGTGGCTAAGGGGTTGTACAACTCTACACAGAACTGGAAACTCAACTTCTTGATATTAAAGGTGCTGAAAAGTACTGCTTTACTGCTCGTGATGTAGTTTCTTCTTAATTTCTGCCTCCTTGTCGTTCCATAGCACAATTGGTTAAAGAGCTCTTTTTTCTCTGGAGTGTGGCTGACACTATCCAAATCTGATCAATAACTACTCATGTGCTGCCACTACCCATAGTGGAAAATGCTCATCAAACACTTAGCTCTCTGTGAACTGGAATGTGGTGGCAGAATCCTTTAACACTTTGAATAACAAAGGCAGGATGAAACCTAGCTGATGTCTTAATACTTTCAATTTATTTGAGACAAATCAAAAGAGAACACTTAATAAATGTAACTGCAAAGAATGCATGTACAATTAAGTTATAGGTTTTTAAACCCTTTGAATAAGATAGTCAAGATTACTAGTCAGGTCTTATTAAGACACTTTGCTAATTTATTTTTTAATCTCTTCAGTGCCTCCAAGTCAGTTCACTTGGGAAGAAGAGGGGAATTAGACTGCAGGCAGCTCACACATGCAGACGAATAAGAAAAGCTTTCAGAGCAGAAAAATTTACTTTCTAATTAATTGCAAAATACCTACGTGCAGTAATGTACCTTCCATTATAAAGTCACAGTCAACACAACCGATTAATGAACATATACAAGGTGGAGAAACATCCAAATAAGACCCATACTTAGCCCATGTGTCCATGATAAGAGAGAAATGTTGTAGGAGGAATGTGTATGTTGGAATAAGCAGTAGGCAGGAATATAGGGATAGGTTTGGCTTCCTACTAAAAATAGTGTGACTTTGGAAAAACCACTTGACAACTCTTGATTTTTCTCTCCTCCATTGTTAAATTACTTCGAATGCTTCCTTAAACTCTACATAGTGGCAAAAAATGTGGTCTGCTGAGTTCTGCCATTTATTAGCAATGTACATTTAGGCTAGTTAATTGATCTCATTGTGTCATAGTTTCCTCGGCTATAAAATGATTAAGTGGTACTTTTCTTGGAAGGTTCTAATGAGGATTAAATGAGATAGCATCTGAAAATGTTTTTGAATGGTTCCTGAAATATAAGAAATATGCAATAAATGCAAGCAATTATTACTGTTGTCATTATTCATCATTTTAACTTGGACATTAGGGACAGAAAATATACTCAATTTCTTATTCGTGGATTTGGCACCTGTTGAAATTTTTGCATTTTTTTAATATTTTAAATTTTTATTGCTTGGGATAATTATCTTTCAGTAATTTCTGCCTGTTACAAGGTAGTATTTTCTAAGACACGCAAAAAAGTATACGTCTACCGGGCCTCCCTGGTGGCACAAGGGGTTAAGCACGGCACTATGAAGCAATCTGAAGCCTCTGCAGCACGAGTTGGATTCCGGGCCAGCCAGGGAGCAACCCACCTGGTGCAGCAGACCTCTCCTAAATCACCTACTGCTCCCCTCAGCAGTGTATTTCACTCAGTCTGCCTGTTCTGTTCCCCACTCTGTCTCTGGTGAATCCTCTCACCCCCTGCATCTCTGGCCTGTACCCCATTTCTGGTATGCATAAATAAATAAATCTTTAAAAAAAAAGTAT